AAGGGGAAGGGGAAGGGGAAGGGGAAGGGGAAGCCCCGCCTGGCTGCTTCCCGGAGAAAGTCAGAGAAACTGAAAGCAAAAGTCTTCCTAAGCCCCTGGGGAAAGGGGGAGGAAGAAGCGGAAGCTGCTTTGCCTCCCCTTCCCCGCACAGGCGGCCTCCTGAGCCCTCTTCGCGTGTCAGCTGCCCAGGGAGAGCAAAGCCTGGGCCTGAAGTCTGCCCCTTCTTCCCGGGTCCTTGGCCGAGTTAACTCTGGACACCACCTTCGCCTGGTAGTGGTGAGCTGAGTTGGGCTAGGTTCAAGGCAGGGAGGGCAAGAGGTGCCCCTTTCTTTCCTAGATGAAGAGAAGAGGGGCCGGGCGCCCCCAGTACCGGGGGGAGATGCTGGGGAAACCAGCAGGCAAAATATTCCCTTTCAAAAATGTGTCCAGCTCCTATTCCAGCAGCAGAGTGAGTCCACAAAAAGGCATTTTAAAGACCTCTTGCTCCTGTATGCCCTGCGCTGATGGGGCCAGAGATCTTCTCCTCTCCTTTCTTCCAAGGCCTTGCTTGAGGATGTACGGTTTGTGCCATAGCAAGCACCTTAAAACAGGGCATCGTGTGATGCTTGTCATTTGTTAGTCTTTTTGTCTGTTAGTCTTTTTGTCTGTGGGTTTTAAGCTGCTGTACAAGGAAATTCTATTTAGTATCTATTTGAGCTGATTGAAATTGGGAAGACTGCATGTATTTTGCTGATATTTTGATGGAAAAGGGAATATTTATATTAATTTCCCCCCTCTGCAGTTTTGGACAGCTCCACTGTTCCCCACTGTTAGAGTTCTGGCACTGAAAGTAGTGCAAAAATCCTTCCTTTCTTTTGCATTCTGTCTTTCTTCATGCAGTTTCTTGATCTTTTAAAAAAGTATTTTACATGATCAGTGAATACCTACACCTTTTTTTGCTTTAAATGCTTTTTTTGGGCCTACAATTAGGCAAAGGCGAATTGCAAAAACTGAGTACATATCTTTAAAAACAATGTGTTCACCTGTAATCAAAAGAGATAATGATATATTATACAATTCATGCAGAATTGCATTGTACAGGATGGCATGGATATATTACTAATAATAAGATTAAAGATGAGAAGACAAAATTGTCCATTGACTGTCTCTTGGCTGTAAACTTAGCATAATACAACTTTTGTCTTCATTCTGGCTAGTCCTTTACTTTAATCTATTTAAAATTTAGAGGTAGGGGTCTAAGGAAATGCATTACTAAGGTTAACGTAATAAGGATATATAGCAGACAATCTATTTGAAGCTGTATCTTTTTAACAGTAAATTCTGGTTAATTTGTAAATTACTCTTTATCACTAGTTAATTTTCCACTTCCATATATTTTGCATGCCATATTGAGAGATGGTAAAGAATTATTTAGAATTTTTCTAATATAATTTTCTCCATTATGAGTGCAAATTGCACTCGCTCTGGTTTTATGTAAGAAAATGGTATGATATACAGATAAGTGCCTAATGTTCTTACTACAAAAATTCAGAGCGCTTGCTATAAAAATTGTATGATTGTGATGGAGTAAATAGTCAATGATTTCTGCTTTGCATTGCACTCATCACCAACGTAGAAGATAATTCTGCAAAATGGAATAGTCAATTCTTTATGTCTCATTAAGCCAAGAAAAGCTGAAAATGAATGATCACACTTAAAAAGATGATGAATTAACCAGTGTTTTCTGTACAAGTCAGTAGGACTATGGCAGGAATTCAGTGCACTAAGACAATAGTGAACAAGTTATCCCAATGATTAATTAACTAGCATACACTGCATTTATGTGAATCAGTTAATTTCTGAGGAAAATAATTGAAGCTAATATTCCTGATATTTATGGAGTCTAAATGCCCATTTATTACTCTCAGTTTTGGGTTGAGGAGTGCAGGGATTTAGGTTTCTGATAAGGTTAATTCCTTGAGTTCTTATTGAGTTCTAGTTTTTTGTATGTCTTGAGTTCTTATGGCACTTGTTTTATTTTTCAGCTTGTGACAATGGAGAAGCTAAGGAATGCAAACACCTGTTTTGCACTTGATCTACTTAGAAAGTTTAATGAAACAAATCCAACAGGAAACATCTTCTTCTCTCCCATCAGTATTTCTGCTGCACTGGCCATGATCCTGTTAGGGGCCAAGGGTAACACAAAGACACAGATGTTGAAGGTCAGCTAAAAGTTTCTGTCTCTCTTGTACTATATATTCTCATACATTAAAAATCAAAAGTTTCAAACCTAAAATATTCTATTATCTTTCATTATCATTCTGATTATTACTTACTTCTATCATTGATTAAATTAATCTTCCATTCAGTTTGATCAGAACTCATTTTTTTTTTTTTTTAGTTTTCATGCCTCCTGATGCTGAGAGCTGCCATTTTTGTAACACGTGCTTAGTAAAATTGCACACACTGCAACCATTTTACAATCCCCAACCAACAAACCATGCTTTCAGCTTCAAGCGATAGCTAATGATTGTACAGAATAGCAACTTGGCATGAGGCCATATATTTTTTTTTAAACAAGGTGAATACCATATCCCAAAGGATATGTAGAAGAAAAGCTGAATTGGAATAAAATTCAAGATCAAGCCACTGTGAAGCATGACCTGAGATCAGTCACAAATTATATTCAGTGCATACCAATACAGGTAAGATGTTTTAAAAAGCAGGTGCTCAAAGTTAACCTTCTAAGCATTTAGAATTGCAAATACAGCTCTGGTTTGGAAAGCTTTCCTATTTATGTTACCTTTTAACCATCAGCTTAATCCCTGATATTTGAGCACATGCTTAGCTCTAAGCATCACTGCATTGTTATCCTAAATATATTTCTTAGGGCCCCTGCTCTATGTTACATATAATACGCAATTAACTGATCAATTGCACAATCATTTTAGACTGGCCATGTGATAAAAATGACTATTCAGCTCTAAAAAGAGCCACCAGCTATAAAGTTACTGCTTAAAAATGAGTAACAATTTTATAGCTGATTTCTATCCAGCTTTCATTTGAATTAAGAGTCCTTATATGTTGTATCTTCTGGGGCTGATCCAGACCCTAGAGTCAATGGAAAGTCTACTACTGAATTGATGAGCTCTGAGGTACCATGGCTCAATTCTCAAAAATATTAAGAGACATAAAGCTTCAGTAGGAGGTAGGTAGCTATGTACCTTTGACAATCTGGGGTCATGTGTCTGTTCTGAACCCTGGCCTGTAAGCCATATTGTATAAAAGAGATGCTTTAAAGTATTCAAATCAGGTTTTCTTGCTGTGGGTTATTGGTATTTATTTTACCCGGAGCTTTTTGCTTAAGACGAATTCAGCTGCTAATGCTTTTCTATTTGATTAAGAAGTTTCCCACAGCTGTGAAAAGGTGTGTATGAATTCCCTTTGTTAGTCACAATATATTTGTTTAAAAAAATACCTTTTACCTTAGGCTGCTTTACATTATTAAACACTGCTGAGCTCTCCATTGGTACAATAAAAATAATCTGTCACCTCATATATGACCTGAACTTTGTACAGAAGTTGGCTAACACCCATTCCATCCCATAATTAAAAGCCCAACCCAGAAATAGCATTCTTCAAAAAAAACATTATATATATATATATATATATATATATATACACACACACACACATGCAAATACATGTACAAGTTTCAACATGCTAATCAATTTGCAATGCTCTATGTTCCAGTTCAGAGTACGTCAGGGGGATAGTGATTTGGGGAAGAAAGATTACCACAGTTGCATGTATAAGGGTATTTTATTTTTGTGGTCATGGACTCATTTCAAGTGCCTCAGGACCGCATCTGTTCAAGTATTTCTCTCTACAGCACTGTAAAGTGCTGCCCATGGCACCTTAAATTTTTTCTCTTGGTTTCCTACTGAACTGAGGATTCTAAAATGCATTCTCTACGTGGAGTTGTAATTAATAGAGCTTTACCCAGAAGTTCCTGTATTCATTGAAGGTCTTTATTTTGGTTTTAACTTATCTGCTAATAGGATCAGATCAATCTCACTATAGTGCACATATTCTTTGTTGGGTAATTTTGTCTGTCAGAATCATATAAGTATGCCCATAAAGAGAAACTACATTAATGTATTTGTTTTTTTAATGCATTATGAAACTAACTGTAATATAGGGTATCATTTACATTATCATTAATTGGAAATAAAGATAATTGCCCTAAATCAGGGCTCAGCAACATCTTTGGCTGAAGTGCCAAAAATGCCCCAATGTCAACCCATGCCTTAACTTGGTGTGCTAGAGGCAGATGGCAGGGGAGCCGTGAGGAGCCTGTTCCTTATTGCTGGCAGTTGGTGAACGTGTGTCTCTGGGCAGACAGTGGGGAAGGGGCCGGGGTTGCACTGCTTTGGCTTCTTCCCCACCATGCACCTTGAGGCATGTGTATAGCCGCTGCTGCCACAGAGCCAGTGCCGGGGCTCCAGTTCCCAGTGCAGGCTGGCTGTGGCAGGCAGCAAGGAGACTCCAAACAGCTGCATTGGGCTCCCCAGCCAGGTTCTGTGGTGGCGGCAGCTGCACATGCCCCTCAAGGCACATGCCTGGAAAGGAGCCTGGGGTAGCACAACCCCAGCCACTCCCCTGCCTCCCCCCACCAGACCCTCCCGTGGCACATTGGCAGCTGCCACTGTCATGGAGCCCAGCCATTAGGGCTGTGCAAAGTTTTGGATCATGATTCAGATTCAGAGATG